CTAAAAGGCTGCGACAGCGTGTACTCACGTTGAAGAAATGTACGACTAGGCTATACGAAAATTACAACGATAGTGCTGGTAATATATGGTAGGATAAGTTCGTTGAGAATAGAGTAAATTCGTTTCGTTAGCGGGTTTTTCGTAATCATTGCGACCAAATCGAGGAAGGAAAATTCGTTTTAAAACTTTGAAGTGAGCCAGCTGTTTTCTTAAAATATTTCATCGTTAAAGGGATACTCCAACGATATTTTTATGGCCACTGATCTGACTCAAAATTGGATCAACACACTAATTGACACGGCTGTTGAAGTCGGCCAAGGATTCTGTGAAAAGGGACAAATTTTGCGAAGTTATTGAGTTTTCTAATTTAGTGCTCATCGTGTTTCTGAAACCAAGAGCCCCTACTGGCAATACTGAAGTGTGACTGCAGAAATGGTACAAAGTGGTCTATAAACCCCGTTCCCAACTGATTATAAGACGTTTTATGGTGGGAAAATAACGCTTGGAAACCCATTCATTGAGAAGCACGAAAAAACAAAACAAAATCTGTCAACATACTCTCTTTCAAACTTCCTTCGGGACCTGAAACTCTGTACCATTTGTGACGTCACACCACTGGATAGCGCGCGGAAATTTGAATGTTAGTTTCGGCCTCATCCTTTACGGGTTTTATCAATAGGAATATTTTAAATTCCGAGACAATAAATAGCACACCTTGATGGATAAAATTCTAGGTATTCAAAAATTACAATTTGTTGTAAATAGCTGAAGAATAGAAACATAAACGGCACGTGTACTTTTTGAATATTCTATTCCAACGTTTAGAACAACGAGATTGTTCAGCTGTCTTTCACCCAAAGTTAGATAGTTAAAAAAAAATTATATACACAAGTTTCTACGCCTGAAAGCACGGCGACCGAATGTTTTTTTTTTTTTTTTTTCTGACCCTACGGCATGCGTTGCCCTGGCGAGTTCGCTATCAAGGGCTAAATCGGTCACGTAAAGAATAAAGTGGAGGATCGCGGCTTATTCACTGTGCCTGGTTGAATTAGTCGGTGATAGAAGACGCTCATAAACGATGAGCGTGGCGACGGTGCAGTTTTGGTTCCGTTTGATTGAATCCATCGGATCGTAGCGTAGGGTGCTGTCCAGCTTAAAAGTGAAGCGAAGTTTAGATACAAAAAAAAAAAAAAAAACTATAGCGTACGCTGAAGACTCTTAAAACAGCTTACGAGTAGGAATGCGAGAACAATCCTACACGCAGCGCATTCCTACAAACAGCGCGCCACGTCGTGCTTTTTCACGCGGCGCTCCGGCGGTGACGTCACGCTAACCCACTGCGCATGCGCGGCGAACCCCGCCGGCTTCACGAAGGCTTCCGTGACGAAGCATCTGCGTTGCTGTGCTTTTGGCCAATGGGAATTTAACTGCCGTTTCGTTGCTACAGACGGCTACAGAGAACGCCAGCTTCGCTTTATAACAAAGTTAATGCTTTCGCATAAAACTAAAAAGATAGGCCCGCAGGGACACGTTAAGTAACTAATTAGACTCCTCTCGATTTACGTACAATAAAGCAAATAAAAAAAAAGGTAATTAAACGCATCATTTGAGAAATAGTTACAGCGAGGACCTACCTGGCGTTCGTAAGAAAAGAGAACCGTGTTTTTCGGTCCACATAAACTCCAACTCGGCGGGAATTTGACGCTAGCGGTTGAAATAGAAGGCAAAACGTTTGGGAACATGAGTTTACTTGCATCAAAAAGATCAATGTTGAGAAAGACGATGCTTTTCTATGAGCCGACGTCCACGTAAACCTAATATTAAAAAAAAAAACTGAAATTGTGGACGTATGTGGCACTAAATTTGGCAAAAATAGGTTCTTAGCAAGAAAGACTATTGCCTGCTTTCTTTCTGACAATTATTTTTTTTTTTTATGTAGATGGATGTTACAGGTGCCCGTATTGTTATTTCATGTTTTGACAATATTAGGCTTAGTCGGACGTCGGCTCATAGATAAATCTCAACTCGTTTTTTTATCTTTTCGTTCGGGTAATGTCGTGCTCTCAAAACTTTCACGTTCTATCCCTACCGTTAGCGTCCCATTCTCACGAAGTTCGAGCTTTCTGCGATACGTGTAGTTCATTTATTGGAGCCGAAAAACACGGCTCTCTTTTCTCACGAACGCCCGGTGTAACCACGCATCGTATCATGAGCATGGCACCGACTTTGGGAGACAAATGCCTCGACCGTGCGAACTCTCGGAGGTGGGCGATAGCCGGAGGCTCCTTTCCAAAGGCCGTTCCTCGACGCTGCGTCCACGGCGATGACCGAGTCTCATTAGGAAGCCCTGGGCACCAAGGGGGTCGTAATTACAAGCTCTGCGCCTCGGGGACAAACATTCGTCATTGCTTCCTCTCATCTCACGTAAGGGTCCCCATAGTCCAGTTGGAACAGCGACGTTCCAGCCAAGAAGAAGGGGAAAGGAGAAGCTCCCTCCAAACCCAGGACTACACACTTGAAGTCGGGAGAGAAGAGGGAGGACCAAGATGGCGGCAGCGAAGGAGGAGAGGAAGAGGGCGTGTGTAGTTTCAAATTGCTCACTCGGAACGGCGTGCGTCCAGTCGGATCCTAATGGTCGGGTGAACTGGAAACCTTTCCTTTTCCGTCGGATTTTTTACGGGTTCCTGTTCGCGTTCCGCGGCGCTGGAAGTCCTTGATTACAACCGGTCTGCCGGCAGTGTCCGAGAGACGGAACTTTTAAACTGTGGAGAAGAGGGTATAATTGGTGATTCTGCTGTTCTTCCTGGTTGTGCGAAATAATGAGCTGGAGGGATTTGAGCGTTGCCGAACTACGATGTTCTTTTTTTTCTTTTTTTTTTTAAAGCCATATGTGTGACTGCGTGAATTCAAACTAATCTCGAAGTCGCTCTTTCAATATATCCAGGAAATTGCTCGTTCGTAGACTAAGCTTAAAGCACATCGCGCGCGCGTACATGAGCACGTAAGATACCATACTCAGAATAAATAAACAAATATATAAATGCACCAAACAATGGGTATGGGGCGCAATATTATTTTACTGCAGCACGCAAGAAGTAAAACTTTGTGTTGCTTGTATGTTTATACAGACTTGATCATAGTATGCTTCCATGTGTTACTTGTGTCTTAGATGTAGATAAAAATAAATTTAGCCAGTGCAGTACAACCACTAATCTGGGATCTTTAACGTGCACTACGCTGTAGTGAATACATGAACGCGTGCCGATACGAACCTCATCCAGATCAAAAAGGACGGGGGGTGGGGATCGAACCCATGAATTTCTTCTGCGAAAGCTTTTGCTCCACGCTCCGAGCTGAGACGTTTTAGCCCAATCGGCCACCGATACCTTTTTTTTCCCTTTATTGATTCGGCCAGGATACATCGCAAGCAAGAAAGTTTAAAATTTCATCTTGATATATGGCTCAGAAGGCTTTGAATACAATGCCGACGCTTTCGAACCATCGTAAAATCTGTTTTTGAACCGCTTGAACAACTTCTGTCTGTGCGATTGCAATTTTTTTTTTACAAACACGTGATCATTATGTGTGCAGACCTAAACGATTCACTTTAAGTTAGAGTTTCGTTAAAAAAAAACAACCCTGTTTGCATAAACAAATTGAGATTATGTCATGCAGATACAAAAAAAGAGAATCTAGATATATACGCTCATCACCATATCCGGCAAATGAAGGGGCGCTGGTAGCCGAATCATAGACTCACAACGTGCAAAGGCGTGCCCTATCATCGATTTTTAAACAAGAACCACTTAAACTGGCCCGGCAAAGCCACGCCAGCTTGGCTAGCTTTAACATTCAAAACTCGGTTTTCTCTTCATTTTGAACATGATTCGGTGGCATCCTGGTTTTATATTCAACTGAGTTCAAGTGATCTACTCTTTATTTGTGCTCTATCCAGTACTAGACCCTTGTAGAATTTCTTTTCGAAAGCCTCAGGTTGCGTACTCAAATTCGTCCCCAGTCACGTGACGCAAGTTTCGCCACCCGCGCGCTCCGTCGCGTTCCAGCGCGACGACGTTATACCAGGTGTACTCCCTTTCTCCGCGGCAATACGCTAGTCTCTCCATTGCCGTTGCCTAGGCAACCCACTTGATCCTGACGATGGTCGTAGAGCACCGATCGGCTGGCGTTACAGGCCAGAAACGGCTACCTCCCTAAGAGAAATTTAAGCTGACGGAACTCTTATTTTTACAAGAGTAGTTCAACATCTTTATTGTACTACCGACTACAATTCCTTTAAATTGAAAAAAAAATCGTTCGAGGTTTATGCCGTTTATTACAAAAAAAAATACAAGTAGACTAAATGTTTAATTCGTGAATCAAGGTTAAGTATAATACGCAGAAAACAAGTAAAACACAAATTCGTGCCTTTGATTTATTCGGCCTATGTTCGCTTGCCACTAAGAAAACGAAATTGGTTAGATAGCCACCGACATGTAAATTGCATTAAAGGCCCACTCGAAGAAATTTACTTTCCTTGTTTTGCAGTAGAAAAAATGTTCCGGCGCCTTCTCCGGTAAAAAAAAAAACGCCTTTTTACAGCACTTTTGTTTTGTTTTTTTGCATTTTTTGCTCTAGCTGTCCTCGCGTTTTGGTCCGCTCTACTTAGCCCACGTACGATGTCCCAGCGTACTTTCTTTTGCCTGAAACCGAGCGCTTCACATCTTTCTCCCACCACGCTGGGAAAGACAGATAATCGATGCGAGCGCTGCCGGCTCCGTGCCCACCACGAAAACGGACCTCGAATGGCCCGGAAGAAGCAAAAGCGTCGGCGCGTCTTCTTATTCCCTCGCTGGTCTTCCCGTGACAGCCGTCGTTTTCGCCTTCGCCTATCTTTGGAAGCCCAAAGCTTTCCCAAAATATAAAGGTATCCACCACGGCGAAAGGGTAGAATATGAAGGGAAACGTGCTGTCTCGTCTTCACGTTCTACATCGGAGGAGCAATGCAACGTCTGTGGAAAGAAAACCTACACGCGTATCAAACGTCTGACAGAGCGTGGACGTAGAAGACCACTCCCCCCTCGCCCTCTCTGCTTCCCATGTTTTCTATCCATTCCCGGTTCCTGTCAATTTGCGAAGACGAGCTTCGCTCGATAGTCGACTGGGTTAATTATAACGTCGACCTATATTCGAGCTTATATCTCTCGGTAATCTACAGCAATGCAACGAAATGCTTGTTTCTTTTTACCACGCGGCGTACAGTTTTGGGACACTTTGTAACAAGGAAAACTACGAAGCGATAAAAAATAAGCTTGAGATAGAAGAAAAATAGCACTTTTGTCGAGGCTTGCGTTGCGCACGAACAATTCTACATTCCAATGAATTATGTTTAATAAAGCCCTCTCAAAAACACAATTTTGTTCGCGTTTTAAAAAAGCCCGTTGGGTTTATAGCAGCCTCGTCTAACCAACTTTTGTCCATTTTGTTTTAAATTACGCAGGGACGTCAAAGCGGCTCATCGTTCGCGAGGGTCACCAGACGGAACTGCCCTGCGACCTCCGCAGCGCCTCTTCCAATGACTCCCTGGCGGTAGTCCACTGGTACCACCAGCCGGAGAAGGACTACCACGCTGCCAGCGGAAGCGGCGTCCCGCACCCTCAGGCCTCCGGCCGGGAGCCCATCTACACGGTGGACTTCGGTCCGGATTTGAGCCTGAGCAAGGAAGCGGCGGGTGGCTCCGGAGCAGGGCGCGGCAACAACCTGCTCCAGGTGAACCGGTCGGCGGGCACGGGCTGGGTCGGGCGAGCCTACTTCTCTATCATCGGGCACCCGGCGTCGCTGAAGGTGAACAGCGTCCGCTTCGAAGACGCCGGAGTGTACACCTGCACGGCCGTGTTCAGGGACGGAGCGAGGAGGAACTCCACGGTGCGACTCCACGTCGTCGGTGAGTACGAGCAATGGCGGCTAGAAACCTTACTCGTGGAACGGAGTCAGCGCTCTTCGGTGCTTGTGTCTGCTACCGACAAAAAAAGTATAAGGTGATAGAATTGTTGTTAGTGCGTCAAGAACGAAGGCGTTGAACGGCGATTCTTTCCCGTCCAACAAATGTAACAAAATACCTGTGATAATGTAGTGATTGCGCAGGCGAGCTGGTGGATGTTAACCATTTTGTTCTTAGCCCGAGACTGAGGCAGGAAAAGAGGAAAGTTTCGAAGTAGAAGAAAAATGAACAGTCGAGGACACGTCTCTAACACAGCTAAAGACAAGTTTATTTGGTCACCTTCTTATATACACTCCACAAACTTCTCCACAAACTCCACAAACTAGAGGGAGAGAGTGTACTGTGTACGCGAAGGATTCAGACAAGTGTCTTCCGGATGAGGGGAGCTATTGTTCATTGCTTTGTGGAAAACGTCAAGGTCGTTTGACAATTGTGGTGGAAAGATGTGAGACCTTGTTATCGTTTGGCTTTCGAGATCGGGAAGGTGCTGTGGTGAAGTTTGTGGAGTGTATATAAGAAGGTGACCAAATAAACTTGTCTTTAGCTGTGTTAGAGACGTGTCCTCGACTGTTCATTTTTCTTCTACTTCGAAACTTTCCTCTTTTCCTGCCTCAGTCTCGGGCTAAGAACAAAATGGTTAAAATACCTGTGTAGTTACACACACAAAAAAAAAGTTAATAATTTTTTTTGCGTTATATTGCAGTTTAGTGTTTCACAGTGATAAGCCGCGCAGTTACAAACTTCTAGAGAAAATCAAACGTTTACAGAGACATGTCATGATGTATTGTCTTAATCTTTGCTTATTATATTTGTAGAAAACTGCGAAGTCCCGATGGCGTGTCGGGTTCTTCGCAAAGACCGATCATAGAACTAACTTTAATCAAACGTATGTAGCAGGGAGTTAAATAATCTGATAGACAAAAGGGTAAAATAGAAACAAAATTACTTTACTCGGTAGTCAGTACCGATTTTATCGAGTACGTTGGTACGTTACTGAAAACTCTAAAGGTTTATTAGTAACGTCGTTCAATGTAACCTTTTACTTTCAATACTGGTGTTAATATACAAAGTTAAGTGCCAATTTGACTAAGTTTCTAACACGGTTTTAACACCAAGGTGGAAACACTGGTCAAGGCCCGTTTTCCTGCAATTACATTGGCTCCCAGCCTGTACAGTTCTTTTTCGGACATAAAAGAGGGCCAGCATTGGCAGGAGGTTCGGCTTTATCCACTTTCGCGTAGAATGTTATCATAGAGATAAATTCTAACTGCTCCAGTAGGTGTTTTTGATAAAAAATAACAACAACTACAATTCAACAAACACATCTTGCACAGCTACGTTTAGCTAAAATTGATTTAAAATATTTGACAAGTGGAGTCGTTTCGAAGTGTCCTATAGCGTCGGCATAAAACCGCGTAAACCTTGACCACGTTTGCACGTTGTGAGTCAAAGCTAATACTCAATCTAAGACGCCCTGTCAAAAATTTGACCAGACCGGGTTCTGGTGTTTTCTGACGTTGATGTCATAGTGAAAATTCATACGCGGGTTCTGATTTGTGGTCGTGTCCTGGCGTGTCCCGGTCTGGTGTGACCAGGTTTGGTGTGACTTGATGTGATGACAGTCCAGTGTGCCCTAGTGTAATCCCGCCCTACTCATGCAAGCATTATACGGTGATGTCTTATTAATATATAAATTCATTCCCCCAAAAAGTCGTCCATAATGGAGTTGCCTACAATAACTAGACAAAAATGCATATGTTTACCCATCTCGTCCCCCAAAACCTCGTTCATATCGCGAAGTATCTATAATAACGGAGTTCATATTAATAAGCCATAACTGTATAATTTCAACATCAAATTAATTCTTTTGAATGCAAAAGCTAGCATATTTTGCAAGGACCAGACTTCAATTCAAAAAAGGTTTAGCTATTTATTCAGTTAGTTGTCCTGGTGCCCGGGTTTGTTGCACCATAGTTGGCACGGTTTCTGAATCCGCGGAAGTTTTATCTTAGATGACGTGGCCACCTCCAGTTCCGTATGACCCGAGCCTCAGCAGAATGACTGGAGAAGCTTATTAGAACAATTCAGACATGAGGTGAAGGTAAACTAAACACGTTTTAATCTCAATTGATTGATCTTGTCATGTCATCATTTCAAATAAACTATTTATATTTAACTACTAAAGCCCCCCCCCAAAAAAAATAAAAAAAAATAAATAAAGATTGCTGCGTTTAAAGATACTTTTATATGGCTCCAAGGAAACGTAGGAAACACTCCATTTTGTGCAACGAAATGCAGTGCTTTTTACCAACCTTATGCGGCGTTTTGAGAACATCGAAAATTTTAAATCTATCACCCTTTAACGCATTTCGCGTACAGAAAATCACTAGAACTTATGTTGTCGGCAGCCATCGAATAAATGTTTCCTCTTAATTGAAACAAAAACAAACAAAAAAACATTAAGCAGTATCTCCATCCTTCTGGACACTAAGCACCTATATTTTGCATGGAAGCAACAGTTTTTTAGGCAACAAATAAATGGCGTGCCGTACCAGAAGTGTAAAGCATCGTTTGGTGACTTGTGTTGCAACCATGAAAAAAAGACGAGACACAGTTCACTCTTACACAGGAAGCTACTAAAAAAAAAGCCTGCAGAGGCCCGACTAAAATTTGCTTCCCCACAGACCACTACTCCTCTATTTACTGGCCGTTGTTGGCTGCATTATTATTGCAAAAATAAAAACAACGAGTCTGTGGCAGTGTAAGTTCCTCCGCAACACTGTGGTCCGCTTAGCGATGGTGTGGTTCAAGAAAACCATGAAGACAAAGACAAAAATAAAGAAAATGTTGAATATGCCAGGTTTGGAAGTTTTGAGCAGAAACAGGTGATACCTCTTGTCATAACAATGCCCACAATTAAAATGTCAAGGGACATTAGTTTCCTCTAAACAAAATAGGAAACCATCTTTTTATTTTGTGAATTTTGTTTAATTAAACTTATAACATATTTAACGTTGCCTTGAAGTTTGACCTGAGAAGAAATCGACCTTCTTCGTGCGCTTCACGCTGCTCAAAGTGTGAGGAGTTCTGAAAAAAAAATAATGTGCTCGAAAACAATACAAAGATGAGGATTTTGTGATAAAAGTTATTACTGCTTCTACTGACCGTGTACTAGGAACCGGTGAATGAAATATGTTCACTGAATTCTGCAAGTTCATAATTTGTGCTGTTCTTTTGGTTTCACAAGAGAACTAAATAGCTGCCGCAAAGTTAGGGTAATCGATATATTTTCATACTCAATAACTTTTCTTTTTTTTTTAAACGTACACAGACTCCCCACACGGAAGCACACTACTCAAAAACTGGGAATATGTGAACTGTAACGTTTTATTAATAAAGCATCATATTGGTTGCCGTAAAGGCCTTTTTCTTACAAATTTTGGTCAAGGGCCGTCCTATCAAAAGCTGTGGTCGGTGAATCAATCGCGAAGCTGGAACGAATGATATATTTTAAAGAAAACAACCATTTCTTCTTTGACGTTTTTGGCATGAATTTTGCTTCATCGAAAGATGTTTTTATATGCCACAAAAAAAATAATAATAAAAAGGAAGGAATACTTAGCATAGCCTTGAAGTTTAAAAACGTTTGACTCTCCTTAACACAAAATTCAGTTCCAGTTCTCTTGTACTTATGCAGGGCTAAAAAAAAGAGAGAAAAAAAAAAAGTTCAATGGATCTGGGGCCAGATTCACAAAACGATCTTACGCCAAAATTGTGAGTACGACAAAACGTAAGAACAAAATCGCATTCGCGAAACGAAATTATCTGAAGTTTTGCGCTGGTTACGACGGAATCCTATGACAGCTCCGAAGCTGTCTTACACACTTTTTACAATCAAATCCAGATGGACGTCAGCGTCGCTCAGTTACTTGGTCGGGACGACCAACGGACATTCATTTTTCTAAGTGCTCTTCTCGCACGTCCCAACTTCAAGCAGCAAGAGAAAAGAAAAAAAAAAAACTTCTTGAAACCGAACACGACGAACATGAACGCTGGATCCAGAAACACCTGGGAAAAGCTACATTGGCAACCATCCCACCGACCAAGCGAGCTCGACAGAATGTAGGCCTAGCAGGCACTCCTACCTCCTCCGGCGGAGCGTTGCTCCGACAGTACTTGGGCAAGACTGTGTGTGCCGACGACCGACTGGCTTGCTGAATGGAATATGCCCGCGTAATAATTGTGGACAATTCCCGTATTAATAGTTGGATCGATGAACTCCATTTTAGATTATGAGGTCAATATCTCTTCCCCTTGTCATTTCCTTGTTTCCGAGGCAGCGGTGACGAACGCTGTCGTTGAAAGGCTACTCTCATTCATTCTGTCTCCTTGTGTTGTGTGATACAGAACTCAAATAAAAGCTAGTGTGGATTACCTTTGCAACAAGGTATGCACACTTTGTTATTAGTACGCCATTTGTATTCTGACACGACGCTACGTCACTGTAGAGCTACAACAGTTCGTGGGAACTGCGCGATGCCGGCCCAACGTACCTTTCTTCGCAGAGTGTCACGTCAGTGTCGAGTTGCAATCGTAAAAGATCGGTCCCAAAGCGCTTACCAAGACGCGCTCCAACAGCGCAAATTCATCACTTCGATCAAACGCGCGCGTCCGCTCCGAGTGTGAACAAGTATTTGCGTGGCTCTTGCTGACACTCTCGTAGTTCAAACGTATCTTTTTTTAACGTCGGCTCGCTCCCGCATCGCCGAGGCCGCGAAAAACGCCCCGGCGATTGGTTTCTATCTACGTCGCTTTACAAACAACTGGCACGGGCCGTCTTTTACCAATGATGACAGTTGTGTCGACTTCGTAGCGATCAAGTTCGTAGCAGTCACCGAAGGCGGTTATCCAGGCCTCGGCCTTCGGGCGCGTTTAAATTGTGT